GTCCTCAAAGTGTTGTGCTCAATGTTAAATGCCAAATAAAGTCATCTCACTCCTGCAATAAATAGCCATGAGAAAAAGAGACATGTTTCCCTTCATGTCAAGACGACATGGCTAATATGCAGTAAATATTGTACAACTTTTCCTCTCACGCTCTCTTTCTTTTATCTCTGCCAGTCTCACTCTGTTCTTCCTCTCTCGGTATCACTCCTCTTCTCTCTGTCCCTCTCCTCTTTCCTACACACCTCCCACACACGCTTTAAGTGTTTCTGCACATTCGCACTCCTGCATACATACATACATCCTTAAAACTACGGATCAGGAGCTGCGACAGGCTGCAGACAAGAACAAGAATAACCCGCATGTTTGACATCTCTGTGCTGCTGGGGGGAAACCCAGACTTTTACTAGCAGCTATGAAGCGTCGTCCTTGAGTCAGCTGCCTGCTAACCTCCAGCTGGGGCTTCTGTCTCTTTCTTTGACTGGATTAAGCAAAAAACAATGACCGGAAATATGCAAAGAGCAATACAAACAGTATTCAAATCCATCAGCCAAATCCATTTAAACAAATGCTTTGTAATCCGTGTCACCTGGGACAACAAGGACATTGGTTTAGGGAGGGGTCATTTGATTAAATATGCAAGAAAACTGCATAAGAAGAAGAATATTAAAAAAAATCTGTTGCTGCTGCCTCTCATAATGAAAGCAAACATGGAAAAAACTTGTATGGAAACATGTAGATGTATTGATTGCAGGGTGATAAGTATTCAAATGCTTGTATGATTAGTCTTGTACACTCACATGGGGGACACCGCTTTGTGCTAAAGATAATATACAACATCATATACAACTGCTTAAAGATCCCATATTATATATTATGTCAGATTTCCACATCTTCTTAAAAAATAAAACAGGTATAGGTGCTATATAAATACTGGAAAAGTATCAAAATGCTCAGTCCACAGAGAAATGCACAAAGTTCGTATGTAGAAACTGTGCCTTTAAACGAGCTGTTCGGATTTCTGTGACTTTGTGATGTCACAACTATACTATAGATAGAATCACAATATTTATTTATAATATTTACTATATTGACTCCCTTTCCACTTTCAAATCCTGGCTGTAAAAACACCTTTTCAAGTTAGCATATTTGGTCTGACACACATATTGAGACTTGCAATGATTTACGATTTCTGTCATTTTATTAAATTAATTTTACTGTATATTACGGAATTGTTTAATTTCATGATCTATCGATATATCGCTGTTTTAAAGGCGCCTATAAATAAAATGCATTATCATTATTAATATCATTAATAACTTGTAGCTAGGTAGAAAGTCCTTGCATCATGTACATAAAATCAAATGCTGCTGAGCAGACGCTGCCTCATTTAGTTAGTTTATAGTCACCTAAAAGGCCTACCAAAATAAAATCACTATCAGCTGAAGTGTACACTTTATTTAGAGTATTATCACTGTTTTACCTAGGGAATTGAAGCTGTTATATTCAGACCACCAGACACATTTACTCAGTGTTCTGCTGCATCTACGGCGGCATCCATTGGTTCGTGTGTCAGGTACAGCAAAGCAAATATTGAAATGTAGCGTACCCTTACACTAATATTGATTTTTAAGTGGCTAAAACACACTTTGCTGTGGCCTCTGTCCACATTAGTACATGGCTTTGCTTCCGGGCCAGTAGATTTGGTTTATCAAGGATGATAGCATAGCAACAAGTACATAAAATAGTCACAGCATAAACGTCAGATAGGTCGGACCACAGTATTTAACTATTTATCTTTATCTTTCCGGCTAAAAATTAAAAACAGGAATCAAGAAGTTTGCCAATTTTACATATCTCTGCAAATGTAATCATCTCCCACTTTTCTACCCGGCAGTAATTGCTGTTGTTAGCTTGACGTCACGGTGACTTGGTCTACACAAACCATTTGAAACATGAACATAAAAGGGTGTTTTTGTATTTCTTGTTGGTATGTTTTGCAGTGTATGTGAATGACATCAGCTAATAGGAAGTAAACATGGACCCAAGCTGTTGCCTTGCAATGTAATTACAGTGAAACAGCCGATAAAGAGAAGAACTGAGGGTTTCAGACAGATAACAGGTGTATTCAGACAGACCGCATGAGAAAAATAAGGTGGTTTTTGAACATTAAAGTGTTTAAACATGTACTAGTAGAAACCCAGAATACAACTATGAAGCTGGAATGAGCATTAGATGGGACCTTCAAGCCACAAAGTCAAAAAGAGCTCCTAAAAAGGGAAACTTAAGGGACTGGCAGTGGCACATTGTTTAAGAAACCCTGGTAAAATCAGTTATACAATCCTTGTTTAAATCGTGTTTCAAAGCAGAAGTGAAATGGCCCCGTGAACTCATCCTGGCTACAAATAAAAACACATCCACCCACCCACCTACGCACACACACAGACCCAAACAGGCCTCAGCCTCCTCTTTGAGCGGCATCCAAAATGCAGGCAAAGCCTAAGTGTGTGTGACTGGCAAATTCTCTTGCTTTTCCTTTTTCTATCACCCGTGCTCTTTCTCTCTCTCTCTCTCTCTCTCACACACACACACACACACACCCTCACATTACCCACACTAAATACACCCCTACACACACACATACAAACACACACACACACACACACACACACACACACACACACAAACACAGGTCGGGGCACAGAGCTAGCTTTGTTACTGTGAATGTCAACCATTACTCAGGCAGAGAGCTCCAGCCAATTTGACAGAGGAGCACCCAGCAACATGCACAGGCACATTCAAACACACACTGACACACACACACTCTGAGGCACAACAGAGACCCACATCGAGACAAACTCTTTCCCAGATCTGGCCAGATTAGTTGCAAAATCACCAGTTCTGCACCAGTTAGGTTTTCAGTATACATGACCTTTGTCAAACTTCTCAGATTATTGAAAACTATCCAACCATATCCTGCCGAGAAAAATGGTCAAAACCAAACTACACATTGCACCAACTGAAAACTATGATCTAATAAAATTAATTGATGCAGTCAATAGGAAACAAGAATGATGCATAATTTCCACTGCATGGTTCAGCTTGACTCAACTCATTTTTAGCACCAGTACTTGATTTTGTTTTCTACTGCAGAATCTGTGCGGTGTTTATATGCTCTCCAGGTTCTCCAGCTTCCTCCCACAGTCCAAAGACATGCAGGTTAGCTAATAGATGACTTTCAATTGTCCGTAGGTGTGAATGTGAGCGTGAGCGCTTGTCTGTCTCTATGTGTCAGCCCTGTGATAGTCTGGCAACCTGTACGGGGTGTACCCTGCCTCTCACTCACAGTCAGCTGGGATAGGCTCCAGCTCTATGTAGGCGGAATTCTTAGCTGACTGTCACAGTCAACTGCCAATTCAACATCGTCCATCAACATTAGGCAGAGAGACAACAGTTGAAAATTTGCTTTTTGACTACTGGCACACACAGGGATGATGATCAATGTGAACTATCCCTGAGAATAATTGAATAAAATTTAAAAATAGTGACATCACATAAAACTGCCGTGACATCATCTTTAACTCTACACTTGCTAGATCTTTTCATCTGCAACTAAACAGAGGAACATCTGCACTTTGTTGTAAAGTCTCTATTGATGGTAGCTTGGCTTATGTCTAGTATCGCACTAGTGACAGTTCTCTCTGACCAACCACTGGTCTGCAGTGTTTTAACTCCACCTTCTAGAATCGGCTCAGCGCGCTAGGAACCTCAGCGGAGGTTATTCCAAAAAAGTAGCAGGTACCATCCACAACATTTGCCAATGAAAAACCAAAAAAGGACAAGTCGAGTTGAGCAGAACTGTGTCATACCACGCGGTGGACACGCAGCATAAGATTCTATAGAGATGCTAGCTTCGCTGTGAGCCTGCACTTAGGCCAAATTATTCTTTGAGCTAAATGCTAGCACCAGCATGCTAACATGCCTACAGTGACAATATGCTGATGTTCATGAAGTACCATGTTTATCATCTTTTGTAATCATGTACCGTTACCTTTGTTAAATGTTGCTGTTGTCCCTGGTTTTAAATAAAAAGAGGAAAAGATCATTAGCCGCTAGGCTAATTTATACAATGTAAAATGCCATAGGCTTGTGCTAATAACATTAGCATGTTGTATTTGTGGGGAAAATGTGTCCAGATAAAGACAAGTGTCTGTCTGTGACTGCTGTGAGATATAGTGAAGCTGGCTTGTGTACTTGTGTTTGAAATTGTCTCTATTAAGCCATGTTTAATGTGTGTTTAATGTGTGTTTTGAATCAACTAAACTTTACAGCACTTCACAGAAAACCCACCGCCCACTAGTGTTTTGGAGGTGTAACTGCAGAGTGACACAGACACACCGCCGCACAAGTATAAATGCTCACAACGGCATAGGCTACGGCGTAAGGTCTGCTGCATAACTATAAATCCTGCTTTAGTTTAGCATGTTAGCATGCTAACGTTGGCTAATTAGTACTGTGCCCATTTTTGTGATCATCTCCAACAATCCAATCTATGTAGTAGATGTTGAGGTATTTCAAAAGTTAAGTAAAATGTTTGCCCAGCTGGTGGCGCAAGAGGAAAAGTCAGAGAATCACTTAAGTCAGTCAATTCCTCCTCAGGAGAACATGAATGTCTACAGAAAACTTTATGGCAATCCATCAGATAGTTGTTGAGATAATTCAGTCTAGAAAAAAGTGGTGGGCCATCCAAAAGACCAACAATGCCATTGCACATGGCAAAGACATTTGGTGTATTCGTGTAAATTGAAAATTTGTAACATTCTCAGATATTCCTTTGCTGGATAATCTATTTCTCTGACTTTCCCCATGTGAGTAATATTTGGCAATCCCATGCAGTTTCCAAGGTCATCACCACTCGAAACTACAAAAGGTCTACAGAATTACAAGTAGGTTGTGGATACATGCACACACAAGCATATACACCCTCACTTGACTCTACTTACCGCTCTCTGTTGAGACGTGAGGACTGCAGGGTTGAGAAGCTGATCTCCTTTCTCTGTGTCACTGGAAATATCCTCCTCCGACTCTTCCCAAGATGAGGAGAACCCAGCCGAGGAGGCAGAGGAGGATGACAGCTTCCTGAGGGAGCGGTTGGAGTTTGGCCCCGGGATAGGGCTAGAACTGGGGCTAGGGTGGCAGCCTAGTCCCTGGTCTGAGCCGGGAACTTCAGAAGTTTGAGGCTGGCTTTCCAAACCGTGGTCAGTTATTATGACTGCAGGGATGGAGGGAGGGATGGAGGGCGAGTGGTTGGAGGTGTGATCGGTGATGTCCTGTAAGCACGGGGTGCTCTCACTGTTTTGTGCCCGAGGTAAAGCATCGGTCTCTGGGTTAACCTCTGACCTGTTTGCCTCTGTCAGCATCTCAGGACAAGACCAGTCCGCTGTCTCATCTCTCACATCCCTCTGTGTCCGTTGTCTTTCATCTTCCAACATTTGTTTGTTTTCTACCTCCCCTCTGTCTTTTTCTCTCAGTCTTTCTCCCTCTTTTTTCTCTCCATCTGTTGTTGCATCTGGGTTTAATGTCTCAAGGGAACCCTGAGCAACAAACGGTCCATCTAAACAGGGAGTTTGCATTATTTCCGTATGCCGACCATTTTGACCAATGAGTGTCTTGTCTGTGTTTGTTTTAGTATCACTGTCCTCATCGTCTTTCTTTCCTCTTTCTCTCCTTTCTTCTTCCATTGTGTCCTCCTCCCTTTCTCTTCCATTTTGGACAACACAGGGAACTTTACTTTCTTGCGGGTGGGTCATTGGGCATTCAAGGCCTGCGTTTTGTTGGCTGGGAGAGGACGGGGTTTGGCTAGTTGCTCGTCTTGGAGACCGAGGGCTGCGTTGGAGCTCAGTGTTAAGCACTTGGGCACGAATTCCGGATATGTGGGCCTCGAAAATTCCCACTTTTCCCCTGACCTGGAAGAGACAGAGAAAATGAGAGTCTAAATGCAGCTACAGTTTGGTTTCCTTGGTCTAACTGAAAACACGTTGGGTGCATTTGTTCTTATTTGGGTTAGGTGCTTATCATTTCACAGGTGCACTATTGACAGATTAACCGACAAGACAAAAAAAGAGCAACTCATCATCATAGTGTACAACCAATACTAAGAAAATGAAAAAGAAATGAGCTCCTAGAGTTTTCCCATATTTGGCATTAAACAGACTAAACTGAAAAATGAGTTGGCAGGCTACACATTTAATGTGTGACTGTCTGCAGTCTGCAGTACAAATGTGGGTTGACTCTCAACTAAATACAATAAAGAATACAAACATGGAGCTAAAATTAAACAAATAAACTGCTTATGTAAAATCTTACTCAAATTTATGGAGATAGCACAGCATTGCATTACACTATACTATATATCGATCACCAGATTTACATTCTAAGCAGTTTGTATTGATACTAAACCCTGAAGATTACATTTGGATCTATCATTAGTTTAACGAATGCATACTCAGACCAAGGGTGAAGACTGTCAGTCATCCAGGTCATGGTAATCTTAAGTGCTATATCGTAGGCAACTGGACTTGCTTACTTGCTTCAAGCGAGTCCAGTTGCCTACGATATAGCACTTAAGATTACCATGACCTGGATGACTGACAGTCTTCACCAACATGTTGCTAAACAATTTGGGAAGAATGCCCTTCGACTCATACTGGAGTTCTCAAGCAAATCTAGCTGCCTACGATATACCACTTAAGATTCAGTCCAAGGGAAAAACAAAAGTTAAGGCATGATGGATGATGATAGTAGGAAAATCCAACTGGAAATGAATTGGAGGAAGTATGAAACATTCTTTAAGACAAAATATAAAATCAAAGCAGTAACCTCCGATGCTGAACAATGAAGCTAATGCATAGATTGTATAATATTATGGACGTACCTTCCATGACATCACCCATTGGTTTGTGGACACTTGTTCTAATTCCTCAAGTTTGGAATTACGGCTATCTTGGTTTGTTAGTTGCTATGAATGCTTAAATTAGCTTAAAAGACCAAAACCATTTTTTAGTACCAGGCTGTAAACAACTCCGGCAGGTCTATGTGGACTGAGCTTATTTTTGAGCCAGCCTCTAGTGGCCATTAGAGGAATTGCAGTTTTTGGCACTTGAGCGTGGGCTTCATTACTCAGCCTGGGAGGTTGCGGCTTGTTAAAATGCCCAAATTATCAGCAGAAATAAACATGTTTGCAGCCTGGTACAAAAAAAAGTTTTGGTCTCTATAGCTAATTTCCTCGTTCAAAATGAAATCCAATCATGTGGAGACCTTAGTCCAAACACTCATGTGATTGATGCTCTTTTCTTTTGTTCTGCTGAGCTTTCAAAGCTTGAGTAAATGTAGTATTTTTGGATTACTGAAGCAGGCTGAAAGAAGTTCTTACCCAAATTTTTCTGACTTGCTCAGCAAATTAAGTTGGAATACATGGCTCTATATTGCTCAACTACTGCATTCCTAGATAAAGACAGAGATGGGAAGATGTAGCGAAGAAGACAGAAATGACACAGAGGAAGACACAGATAAAGTTAAATAGAAAAATAAGAGAGACACATGTAACATCACCTCAACGTTCTGCAGCTCTCTGTGTATCTGCAGCAGCTGCGCCTGGCGTCTCCTGTCCTCTCGCCTCTCTCCTCCTCCCGTCTCTCCTCCCCTCTCCTCCTGCCCTTCTCCTTCCCCTCTCTCCTCACAGCCGGGAGAGCTCAGTCGTCGGACCCGCTGGCCCACATTGACTCCCAAGAGCTCCGGGCTTCGTGGGGAGGGGGAGCGAGCACGAGGGGTGGGGCTGGGGGAGAGCGAGGACGAAGAGGGGAAGACAAAGGTCCGACCCAGGGCTCGGGGGCTCGTCTAGGAGGGGAGACACACAAGACGGGATTAGGGGTGCTCCAGAAGGGACTCATTAGTATCAATTTATGTTCAAGGAAAACCTAACCCCCCAAATAGCCATTTGTAAATCAGTCACTCACTTTGTGTTGCATGTTGAATTCATAAAGAAAACAGCATTCCTCCACGACGAACCAAGAACTGAAGTCCTGGTCAACCGCGTTTAACAACAGTTGAATCATATACACGTATTATAATCCAAGTCTCATTTATCCAGTTGTATGCTCAGTACTTTCCAAACAGACAGCCCTGAACTAAAAGTGAAACTTAATCTACGCTCTCTTCAAAGCCAGACTCCATTGAGAAAACAGTAAATTCTACCTCACTGAACACAGGAGCTGGTCTATCGCTGCCTTGATCTATAGTTTGTTTGTGTCATTGTGTGACTTTGGTGCTGTAAAGGGTTCATTCAGATTCACCGAAGTCACACAATAACACAAACAAAAAAACTGATCCAGGCAGTGGTAGGCCAGCAGCTCCCCTGTGTTCAGTGAGGTAGAATTATTGTTTTTGTCAATGGAGTCTGGCTTTGAAGAGAGGATAGATAAGTTTCACTTTTAGTCAGTTCCCCGTCAGAAAGAGTTGTCTGCTTGGGAAGTACTGAGCATATGACTGGATAAATGAGACTTCGATTATACTGCATGAGTTGTGTGAGAGTTCGTTTTGATACAGTTTTGCTGTTATTTAACATGGACCCCAATGACTTGAATTCATCAAGATTGTTCTCTGTTTTTGGATTCTTCATTCACCGCGCAGGCATGCGAGAAAAACAAAGTTTTCTTCACAAGTTCGGCATAACACCGAATGAGTAACTGATATACAAATTATCATTTCTTGGGTGAACTATTCCTTTAATACTGCCGGGGGTTTTTTTTTTTCTTATTTTATCAAGTTATTTGAGTGTTTTTACCTTAGGGCTGGTTGGGCTGTAGAGACCTCCACCTGGTGCTCCCCCACCAAGTAACTGACAGTAGGTGCTCCGATCTGGAACCGGCAGCACGGGTCGACCAACTGGACTGGTTCTAGTTCGAGAGGTGGTACTAGAGGAGCCTTGCTGGGTGTGAAACTGGTTACTGCTGCAAGGAGAGGAGAGGAGAGGAGATAAGACGAGAGGAGAGGAGAGGTTGGTTTGTGTGTTTCCAGGCTTTCACAGTAATACAACATTTTGTTTCCTCTTTACAGAAACAAATACACACAAAAATATCATAATGTTAGTTGGTTATATGTTAAAAACTTTAAATAATGTTAGTATCACCCAATAAAACAACGTCTAAGCATTAGGATTGGAAAGTGATTATATATACAATATTTTCATGTGAATCGTTAACATGTTGGGCAGCAGGGCAGCTTAAAAATTGTTCTGTAATGTGATTTAAATAAAAAGTTATCTCCCCCGTCCGGTCTAACATGTTCTCAGCTGACCAAACATGTTTGAAGTATGCATTTCCTCTACAACTCTCCAAGAAAGTGGTGCAGTCTTTACAAATAAAAGCCAAAGTAAGGTACACACTGTAAAAAAACAGAACACACCTGTTCATGACTCCAAGGCCGTTCAGGTTCAGGGCAGAGGCTGCCATCCCCGCCGCGGCCAGGCCAGGGGCTTTGAGTGCTGGGTACACATCTGACAATCTCCCCTGAAGCTGCAGGGAGGTCTGGAGAACGGCTTTCAGTGTTTCCTTTGCATTCAGTCAGCAGCTCCACTCTGCTGGAGAATCTGCCTCGGCCACTACAAAATAAGAAAGTCGAGAAAATTCATTTTGCTGTGTCTAACCTCTCTACGTGCTAACACGGGTGACTATCAAAATGAGAAACATTCTTTTCAAAGAGAAAACTAAATAACAGCCCTTTTTCAAAAAGGACAGACACTGGAAAATCAATTTTCCGTTCCTGGAAAGCCATCCCTAACTGCGTCATGGACAAAGAAGATTATTCATGTAGTCCTGTGGTTAACTCAAAATAAAAGATATCATTGTTCCTACTGGGATTAAAAAAGAGAAAGTGAAAGGAGGACAGACAGATAGACAAAGAGATGGAGATTAATATTGGAAGTAAATTAGGAAGGGACGTGTTTCACTCACTGGAAATAATTTGCCTTTTCTCCTGATAATGTTTCATAGAAGCCGAGATTTTTACAATGCTTATTTGAATCAAACAGCTGTTTTACTACATTAGTACAACCCTCCTCTCCAACTAAGCCGCACCAGTAAACCTCTTTTACATATTTAACCGTATGAACCTTTTCATGCTCTTGCTTTCCTCATCTTTGTTCTAAAAGGAGCCCGAAACATAAAGTTCAGGCCAACCAAACTGTGACAACACTTTTGCTCCACTCGATCCTGCTGCAGCGCCCCACTGTTTGTTTGAAATCTGCTTCAGTCTAAAAATAAAGTAACTTGAAGGTAACATTCTTTCGAAGAGAAAATGAGGGAGGCACATGGAAAAGGGCAAAAAAGATGGAGATACAGAGAAGCATGCCGAGAGGGAGAATGACAAAGGGCAGGAGGTACATAAAGAGAGAGGCAAATACAGATAAAAAGCGGCAGCAGAGTGAAACACAGATGGAGAGGGAAAGGTAGAGATTGGGGCAAAACATGGAGAAAAGACAACGGCCCCTCGAAGCAGATAAAGATGTGCAGAGTCACTGAATAAGCACTTCTCCTTTTACTCCAAAGACAGGCAGCTTGTTTACTATTTTTTTGGTGTTGTGGTACGATTTATAAAGATTGGTTCAAGAAATGTAACCACAGGAGAGCTATGCTCATATGTTTGAATATCTTTATTTTGTAAATTAGGCAGATGTCTTAATCACCTGAAAATAAGAATCATCGTGTTTTCATAACCTTACAATGAGCCGTTTCTATCTACAGTAGCCCAGAATGGACAAACCAAACACTGGCTCTGGACAGGGCCATTTGCATTTTCACACTTTCAATTTGGTCACCACAGCTAGCAGTCCCAATATGATGAGCAGTCTGGGTTCTCATTTATAACTATTGTGTACGCACAAAACGAGGCCTAAAAGAAGCGCAGGCCACTTCCCACGCAAAACTTGCTTAGACAGGAAATTGGCGACACAGACGGTAAGGTGGAAACTTGATTGTAGAAATTGTTGAATATTTTTTGGCACACGCTATTTTTGGCATTTGTCCGTACGTACATTTCTAGTATGGATCCTACAGTGTTTTATAAATCAGAGCCCAGGTCTATTTGTTTTGGAGAGGAAGAGACTACTTCCAAACGTCTCGATCTTAAGTTATCGAAGAAAAAAGGTGAGCGCATATTAGCAGGTTCTGGGCTAGCTGCACATTTACGACGAGCTGAACGGCATCAGAGAATCACTGATTTCGTAACATGAAACTGCTTTCTTCAGTGTTTCTACTGGTTTAAATCACCTAATCAGTTTATTTGGAGAGAAAGAGACCTCCAAGGATAATTCGTCTCCTGGTAAAAACCTCCTGAAGAATAAACACCGAAGGAATTCTAACCGGGAGTTCACACTTGGCACACTTGGGAGAGGTGTCAGCTTGTCGCAATCTGTGATCCGCTCTACTAAATGCCACTAAGGAGAGGTAAAAGAGCAGTCAAAATAATGTGACTGTTTCTTAGGTGCATTTGATTTATAATCAACTTGTTAAGTCTGATTTCAGGAAAAGCAGCGCAAGTCCAGTTGATGTTTTACATCAGTGTTACAAATGTAACCAATAACATGACTCATTTCTATTTGGAAATTTTAGTTACTATTAAAGGTGGTCATATATACAGCATATGGCCACTGAAGAGAAGAAGAAAGAGGAATCTTCATTTGTTTTCTGCGGATGTTTTTAAGGGAATGTGGATCTTTTAGATCAATTTGAGGAGAGCTTATGGTCTGCATGTTCCACACTTGTAACTGTAGTGTGTCCTGCAGTATGGACTTGCGCTGCTTTTCCTGAAATCAAACTTAACAAGTTGATTATAAATCAAATCAAATGATGTTACATGAATCAATGATGCACAGGCAGTTTAGTTATATAAATGCAGTTTCAGCCTTGATCGGTTTTCAGATATAATCCAGAGTGCACTTTGTCTGAGTCCAAGAGAAGGCCGAGTAAAAATGACCTTCAAAAAGTGGTCTTGAGACTCGTCTCAAGCACTACAATACTACAATGATCTGGTGCTCTTGTTAGAAACATTTCATTTCAGCTCTTGAATCAAGACTGCTGCAAGGTGAAATAGTCTAAAATCAGATATTTGCACAGTGAAATTCAATTCAAAATCATCTGTGCAGCACCAAGCAGCTCAGAGTGCTTTACATATAAACAAAACAGCAAAAATGTGCAAATAAACAGAGACATCCAGCACACATACAGACATAGAAAAACAAACATAATGTTCAAGAACGGTGTGGTCACTGAAGAGAATGCTTGAGTAAAAAGGTTCTTTAGGTTGGCTTTAAGAGAACACAGTGTTCACAATCAGAAGGCAAACTGATCCATTCTTTAGGTGCATTAGATGGACGCACATGGGCTCCATTCACTACCACCGGTGGATAGAACCTCATTTCAAGCAACACACATGAGTAAAAAGGTCATGTTCGAGGCATACTCCTTTTTTAAAATTGCACTTCTGCTCTTCACAAAAGTATAATTTGTGATCTACTTGTTATTTCACTGCATGTGCCATTTGTACCTTCAGATTGAGGGAAAAGAGTGTATGAGGAGCACCTCCACTGCAGAGGGTTTCAGCTGTAAACACTTATCCTGTTAGGGAGCCTATCCCAGCTGACACTGGGTGAGAGGCGGGGTTCACCCTGGACAGGTCACCAGACTATCACAGGGCTGACACATAGAGTCAGACAACCATTCACGCTCACATTCACACCTACGAACAATTTAGAGTCACCAATTAACCTGCATGTCTTTGGACTGTGGGAGGAAGCTGGAGCACCTGGAGGAAACCTACACTGACATGGGGAGAACATGCAAACTCCACACACAAGGGCTCCCCCACTCTGGGTTAAAATCAGGAACCCTCTTGCTGTGAGGCACCAATGCTAACCACTTCACCACCATGCCGCAACCCTATGTACTAAAATCTAAAAAAGACAACAGTTTCATTCTGAAGTGATCGCTATGCCTCCTGAAAGTCCCTCTTCTAATGTCCAGAAACACACTGTCATTGCAAACACTGTAGGTGAAAGTGTAATGTAATGTTATGATAAAGAGGAGAAACATGGAGAGGAAGAGATGCAGAGTGGGAGATATTTCTATTGTATAGGTTATCCCAATTTGTTTGATTGACCTACCTGCTCCATTAAATAAAAAGTGTCATCAATTTTTATCAAGTGCAGTTTTTTTGCATTATTTTGTACAGGCCTGCACCACCTATAAATATTGAAACAGAAAGCGACTTGTTCTCTGAGTAATTTACTGACCATGTACTTTTTTGCTTTTACTTGAGCAGGTTTCTCGAATGCTAATTTTCACTTTTACTTGAGTATTTTTATGGGAGGAACTGTTCTTTCACGAGTACACGTTTAAGACTTCCAGCACTCCCTTCACAGCACAGCCGAAGATATTTATCGATAATAGTTTAAGTGCTTTATGTGGTTAGGTTCACGCTCTAAACAAGAGCAACAGGTTGTAGTATCTAGTCCTGTCAGTGACAACTGAAATAAGCTATGCAAATAAGCTTCACTGTGCGTGAGATGCCAACTGGTGCTTGACGTTTAGCGGTCAAACTGCGCAACATTTGCAGAAACGTCCAGTTTCCCAATGCTGGATTGAGTTTCAGCTTAGACAGACCAAAAATGTTTTTCAGCTTTGAAAACAGCAGTGATGTCCAGCTCCTTGTATTTGATTCAGACAGATGAGTGATGATCCGGAGTTGGCTGGCTGCTTTGTATAGCATGTGAGATAAGCACCAGCAAGACAGTCATTACTGGTGTGCAGAGCTGTGAATAACAAGTCTGGACTGCTGGCAAATCATCCTCATGAAATTTAAAATGCCAAGTGATCATCTCACACAGGAATGAATGAAAAATTAGAGTACACATCGAGTCATTTTTCCTCTCAGTAAAACATGCCAGTACGATGGCAGTGCACTGAGACGTGTGCTGCAGAGTACAGACACACTTTGTATATTGTTTCACACCATGTTATCACTTCTGTCACACAGAGATGCCAGCAAAACTAAACTCAAGCTCCAACATCTAGAAAACAAATCCTTTTCGGTTCAGTTCTGGGGCTCATTCAAGCATACCGGCATTCTTATCATGTGCTGAGCTGCCAAAACTGCCCTGGGATGTGTTTTGATTCCAGATAAGTTAAGACATCAGGTCGTGAACTACGGGGTAAACATGGGGTTTCCTTGTTGGGGAGTGACGCAGTTCGAGTGAGGCAGGAAACAAACTTAATGGCTTGTCTCTCGGGTAGTTTACTAACCACCAGTGCAGCTTTTTTTTCACACTGTGTAATCACTTCTATCTATCCGCTAATGTTCTCTAAGCTTCAGTGAAAACAGCACGATTCACCCCAAGAGCAGATAAAGAGGGAGGAAGGAGACATAGCACAGGACAGGGACCAAGGGAGCTGTGTGAGAGACAGAGGAACGAGGAGGGAAAGAGAGGTGTTTACAGGCTATTTTGGTTTAGCGGTCTGTTCTGAATCCTTCATGCAGAAGTAGTGGATTTACTTTCAGTGAAACGGCTCAGTTGTTGTAATGAAGCAGCACTGGGCAGCGGGAAAC